CTGTGGGATGCCCTGTTGAACGAACACTTTGTTTTCAGTTTCAAAAACACACTTGAAATTGCAGTGTACAGAAACCTTGAGGTTCAGTACAGGAACTGGACCTGGGCCCTGAGGAGCAACATGTTGACCATTGAAAACCAGCTGTACAACACAATTGAAAATGGAAAATGTGACAAGGTTGAGCTCACTTATCTTTCTAAAGAAATGAGCAAAACATATGGAGAAATTAAAAAAGAAATGTCAAAGCACTTTGATGATGACAGAGACAAAGAAATGTTGGTTCAGTGGCGAGGCACATTTGAAAAGAAAATCAAGGAGTTTCATGATGAACAGGTGAAAGGAGTGAAAAGAAAACTGGATGAAGTTATCCAGCAGAAGAAGGCTTGTAAAAAGCTTGATGATCAGAAGACAGAGTTTGAGAACAAGCTGCTACAGAAGAGCAAAGAGCTCGCTCATCAGTTAAAAGACAAGACACAAGATGAAGAGGAACTTAAACAGCAGTTTGACTCTGTTTGGAGAGACTGGGTGAGAGAACTAACTGCAGATACAAAACCTATTGAAGACATCAACTTGGAGGAAGATCAGTCAACCATCCTTCTTGAGCTTGGTTTTGAATGGGATCTTATTGATGAATCCAAAAACAGTGGCAGATACAAAAACATATCAGGGGTTGGTGATTACTTTCATTATGTGACACTCACCAAGTATCAGGAGCGTTGTGACGAAAGTCAACAGCCTCAAGAGAGGGAAGGGGACAAAAGAGAAAAGGGGAAACTTAGACAAATTGGTGACTTTTTTTCAGAAAAAGGTACAAAAGTATTAAGTTACATTAAGGGGATATTTCAGCATGAAGATCAACAACTGATCAGATCCCTGATTGATGATGTTGAAAAACAGTCACTTGATACAATCAAGAACAAACCTGTAGCTACAACAGGCTACAGTCCAACTTATTTGCAAGAAGTTGTCAAAAATGTCAAAGAGAAAGTGACAGAATTTGAATCCAAGAGGAAATATGCTCTGAAGAAGAAGTTTACAGTTGAACTCTTACTGTATGTGTTTGACAGAGCAGGGACTTGGCTTTCAGAGTCCCACGAGAAATTCAAGAAGAAGAATGATGTACGTACTCATCTAGAAAGCAAGAGGGATCAATATTATAACATTTTCAGAAGCTTCTGTAAAGGAAACTCTTCTGCTGTTGTACTCGGAGAACTGATCTGTGAAAAACTGAAGGTTTCCACTGTTGAGTCTGTCTGTAACAAGACTGCAATTGATCTAGCTGGAGAGATGATGTGCAGTTTCCCAGCATTCAATGAAAACAGACTGAACCTGGAGAAACATGTGTTGAAGTCACTGGCAGAGAAAGAGGACTTCAGTGGTTTCATCACCTACATCCGACACCCAAGGAAACATGTGGAGAGGTTTATAAAAGAGGAAGTACAGAAATACATCTTCACATCACACAAAGATAAAGCTCGGGATATACTCAAGAAAAATGTTGAAGACATCAAGCAACATGTGAGTCGGGCTTTATTTACTGCAACAGAGAAAGTCAAAACCCAGAGAGGAAACACAGACATGTGGCTGGAAGAATTTACCAGTTCTCTAAAAGATCAGTTGACATTTGATGTCGTTCGTCCTGAAAACTTCAGAGACATAAACCGTTTTGACTTTCTTAAAGAAGCGATAGAGAAAAACCTTGAACCCATCATGGAGATGAACAACCTCTCACTGAATAAGATGAATGAGTTCAGAGAGAAGCCTGATCAAATTCTCATCGATCAGCTGTGCAAGTGCTGCTGGGTAACGTGTCCATTCTGTGCAGCTGTTTGCACCAACACCATGGAAGATCACAGTCCTAATGACCACAGTGTCCCTTTTCATCGCCCCTCTGGAATCAATGGATGGCACTATGAAGACACAGTGGAGCTGGATGTTCATTTCTGCACAACAAATGTTGCAAGTGAAGAAGCTTTTTACTCTGGTGATTTAGAGGCATTTATTCCCTATAAACAGTACCGAACTGGTGGTCCAGAGTTTAAAAACTGGAGAATTACGCCTGATGAGTCCAAACTGACATACTGGAAATGGTTTGTGTGTCGATTTCAAAAACAACTGGAAGACCACCATGATTTAAAATTCAAGGGTGAAGGAGAAATTCCCAGCGAGTGGAGAAACTACAGTAAAGAAGAAGCGATTAAAAGTCTGGATGAAATGTACAAACTGTGAGTGAACAACACAACTACTCTGCTGAAAATGATGATACTTGTTTCCATGTGACTATTCATGAATCAAACTCCTTTTCACAGACGAAAATCAGACTTACTGATTTTATCATTGACAGGTTTTTCTGTCTGTGAATGCTAAATGTGGACAGTAAATGAATCATAACAAATTACAGTAAAAACAAGTCTGATAGCTTTATACAAATTGATACCTATAATGGAAGAGCACATAGAGCAATAATCATATGGAGGATGGAGTGAGTCAAAAATAGATATGTTAATATTAATATTAAATCAATGTGTCATCTACAAAAATGGTTAATGTGAACTTCCTTAAGAGAAACGTTTCCATGAAGGTGAAACAGAAGACAATATGTAATCTTTCCATTTATTTTGTTTGAAGAGACAAAGAGAAATGATGAATATGATGCATGTATTGATGAATATTTTGAAGTTTTATTAAATGAAAATACATGAAATCTGAACTTCTAAAATTCAGTGATCATGGAAAGATGGTTGAGAAGGTTGATTATGATCGACTTCTTACAACAAAGAATGGAGGGTATATTTCTTTAACCTGTGAAATTCATTTCTAAAACTTAAATCAGAAAATCCTGTTAAACAAATTTTTCCTGTTTGTATTTTTATAAGTCTTTACATGTTAAGTTGAATCATGTTAACTGATCCAGGATGCTTTATGTTGAAGACGTATTTGAAGTGTTCAGCTGTGTTATGTTAATTTCATTTAAAGTAATCTGTCATTATATCTACAGCAGCAAGAGTTTTGTTGTTTTGTTGTCAATGTGAGGAAAATATTTCTAAAGTTTTTTTTATCATTTGTTAAACTGATCATTCAGTGATGACACAAAAACACCTGTTGAGTTTAGCCTTTCATGTTATTAATGAGCATAATAAAAATAACTACATCACATCTATTGAAAGACCGTGTTTCTGTTTTGTTTCTCAAATGACAAAATCTTAATCTCCACCTTTGAGATCTGACATCTGTTTGTAGAAGACCCCACCTTTTGTATCTGATCCATGGTTCATAGTAAAGTCTTCTTCCTAACTGTTTCTATTTGATAAGACTTGAAAGTCACCTTATGTCTATTTGACTTTGTCTCAACCTGATAAGAAAATCCCACATGGCTCTTAAGCTTTCTGCTTCGTTGTCTGCACATAGGTGTCACACTTCTGTTACTCTGATCGTGACTTTTCATGTATTTGAGATGATTTCTAAAACCAGGTTTCACAGGTAATCTAAGTCATCTGTTCCTCTGTTTGTATGTGATCTGTTGCCTTTAAGGAGAACTGCCACAATTCAGTATTGCACCTCTTTTAAGTTTGGGGACTCACAAGAGAAATACTCTTAAAAAGAGATGGTCAAAAGCAGCAGAGGCCAAGATGTCCTGAGTTTTTGTCTCTAGTTTGCATCAAGCTCTAAAACCACTGTATCCTGCATTTCCCATACTGCAACTCAAGTGTCTGTCATTAAACCACCTCTTGCCTTGTAGATGCCCACTTTTTTCAAACCCCACACCTCAAGCTGGACATGTCAGTTAAATGTAGAGTATTATAAGTTTGGATGAATGGGGTTTAAATAACTTTAGCATAGTTAGAAAAGCTAAAAACTAGCATTGGTTGCCACTGTCTGACATCATTAAACTCGTAAGACCAGGCTTTGCCTGTCATAACGGTTCACCAAAGTGCATTTTACTATATACATTATTATTTTATGACTGTTTTGTTACTTCACTTCTGATAACGTTAAGTTGGGTCTTTATTATCTAAAAGTACTCACCGAAAAGGGTTGTCTACATTTACAGTAGCTTGACAAATTTAATCCGTTGCAGTTTCTCATAGTGGCCACTGGATGGCGGTAAAACTCATGTACATACGTCGAAAACATTACATGGGTTTTGTATTGGTTAAAACAAACGATTCATCAGTAAAAAAAAAAAAAAAATCGGTATGAATTTATTCATTGTCTGTTTTGGATAAAGAAAGGATAATGTTTCTGACTGCTGACTGTGACCACTTATAGAAAAAAAAGACATTAGCCATCCCCCACAACAACTTCCGGTATGTTACCGGAAGTGACCTATGAAGTAAACAACGAGCTGCCGGTGGATACAGACGTTCAGATAGCTGCGACTAAAGTGAGCTTTTTATTTTTTATTTTAAACGGATATTTTCCTTTTATGCAGACGAAGGGGCATTTGTATGAGAGAATGGTGCGACCTCTAATAAAGATAAATCGGGGTGTTTACGTTTTTGAACCTGCCAGTAAAGTGGAACCTACAGTAGCCTACAGTAGCTAGCAGCTAAGTAGCAAGCATCTGCGAGTAATATTCTTGCTGTTAGCTTCTGTTGTTTTGAGCTCTGAGTTGTTTTTCTAAAACTTTAGATACATGTATCTCCCTGCAGAGACATAATACAACTGTTTTCGCACAGGTAGAATATTCCTTGTGACAAATAAACTTAACCTCATGTGTAAAACTGGTGTAATGCCCCTTTTATTGGACTGTTGCTCTCTGTATGAAACCATATCTGAAGTTTGTGTCACTATTTGGGAGAAAATATATTTCAAAGACAGGATCTGGTTACAGTTTATTACACTGACCCTCAGAGACAACAAAACAAGACCACATACTGAATATACCATATACTGAAGAGCTACATCTTTTAATGATTAATATTTCTTACAGTAACTGACCAAGACTCAGTCTCGTCTTGAACTAAACTAATGACCACAGTTTGCATGTGTTACAGCAGCTGTATCTTTTAGCAGATTTTGAAGGAAGTCAGTTTGAAGTCCCCTGTGACTCTGATGTAGCTGATGACGTCCATGCCAACACGGTTAGGAAACTGGACTTCCTGTCCATCAGGAAGCTCCACCTCAAACACGTCTCCCGCCAGCTTCAGTACAATCTAAATCAGAAATTAATTTTTTAATAGAAACACTCTGAAACATATGAAACTAAAACTATCCACGTGGCAGGGTAAGTGAACAAATACATTTTTTCTTCAAGCCATAAGCCTTTCAAAAATTTCCTCACCAAACTTTTTTACAGCATTTTTCATGAAGTAAATGCATCCTCTCTTCCTTCAGTTCGACTCCCTCACCTTGACGTCTGCGCCTCTCTGTAAGGGGTTGTGTATTTCCCGTTTCTCGTCACCCCAACAACCATCAGTCTTTGAGTTGCACACGAGCACAGCTCCATCTGTGTCATCATGGAAACGAGGGTTAAAGTGCAGCGCCAGGTCGTCTGCATCACAGCCGAGGTCGATCTGGAATCTGAGTTTATACAAGAAATGTGGTGTAAACACCCAGGTGTTTGCAGAGCTCAGAACACCACACAGGCTTGTAACACTGGACATGTAATCTAAAGACTATTGATAAAAGTGCATGTTTACAGATTATTTTTTACTACAGCAACAAACCCGAGTGTATCTGCATAGATATTATCGTATTATTTTATTCAGTGAAGAGGGTAATATTAAACAAGTATAATGTGTTTGGTGAGCTTACCTCTCAGCATCGTGCAGAATTACTCCCTTTAGTTTCAGCTGATCTCCAGCTCGCAGATCTACATTCTTCAGTTCAAGTTGCTGAGAAACACACTTGTGTAGTTCAGCGTTTCAAACAATTTCATGAGCAGATGAAAGATTATTGATAGTCATTATGGTAGCAGATTTGGGAACAATCAAATATTGATATTTATCAGCTGTTTTATTCAACAAATAACAAATTCCATGGTGCAGAACAGTGAAATAAAAGCAGCAGCAGATTTAAACTTACCAGGCTCATTTTTGGTGAAGAGTCCTGGAGCTAATGGAAGATGTAGGATGATGGTGTTGGTACAGAGACACAGTCTTCTGTCCTGGAAGACAAAATGTAAGTGGTGTGGTTGTAAAGTCTTTATTTATAATATAAAGTACAAAAGACACAGTGAAATGACTTTTAACAGTTACAATGGGGCCCCAGTCATCATTATCATCACAATGAAGCAGCCTATTCAATGTAGATGCCCTGCTCTGTTTAATCATTGCTGTTGAACTCATTTTGCAAATGAGATGAATTGTCTTCTTGATCATTGAACAAGAGAAACAGCTGCTGCAGTGCCACTGTGAGGTGATGATCCAACCTGATTTAGATTGAGAACCACTGCGTACATTGAGGAGTCTTAAATTTACACTGGAGAGAAACAACTACCAGAGTATACTGTGCCTGTGGTATTCAACCAGTCTGATATTTACAGGATTGATTTGTGCACTTGAAAATAAAAAAAAATGAAAGATATACATGGTTATTATTTGTTTTTAGACTATTGGTCTTCATCACAATCACACTAGATGTCTCTTGAATAATGATTTTTATTTATTCATCTATTTATTTATTTTTAAAGAATATGACACTGTGCCCTTCTGTCTCCTCAATCTGACCTGAACTTGATTTTTATTTAATGAATTTGAAAGCTAATCCTTCATGTCTTCATCTGCCATCATTTACTAATTTATCCATTCACTTACAGTGTGTGTGCTCAATGTCATCACAGTAACTGCCTGATATAAAAGGAGAGACCTTACAACAGCATTTTTAGAGGACCTAATTTATTCTTTGCTATTTATACAATAAAAAAATAAGGCTCTGTTCAGTTTACCTTTTCTGTTCATCAGGAAATGATCAACTAAGAATAACTGTGTGGAGACGGATGGACCATACTGAGATAGTTGGATGTTGTTATTTGTTAATAGTCACATTCAAGGACTACAACATCTGTCATCAAAACTTAAATTATTATAAAAAAAATATATTAAATTTTTAAAAATTTTAAACACCAGGTTTGTAATTAAGAATGAAACGGAAATTATTATTATTACTGAATATCTGCACTAATACTGCTGTCTTCAACGTTTTACTGCCCTCCGGTGGTAAGAGTGTGGAACTGCAACAAGTGGAATTACTACATATCCGTCAGTGCAAGCACATGAGAATACACTTCCGGTAAAGTAAAGTTCCGGGAAAGAAACTGAAATAAGTATGGAGGAAATAACATTAATCACCATGGAATAATGTCGTTAATTAAAAATTTAAACTTCCGTCAACCCCTACAGAACGAGGTGTCGAAGTGAGAGTTACGTGGCGCTGCTATAGTACTAGCAGCTTTCTCTATTGTGGTGATGCCGATTAGCATGCTAAGTGGGCTAATGGGCATCTTTCATCAGTCTCGCAAGATTACCAAAAAGCTTTTGGCTCCCTCCATCGTCACTGGAATCCCGCCTTGCCCGTCCTATATCCGTAATAGATTAAGGGAGATTCTGTTGGATTGTGGCTTTAGTTTGGTCACTCTATTTTGAGAGTAAGAACCGGAAGTATTAGTATGTGGTCATATCTACAATTACGGCAACTTTACTACCTGATTAAATATGTTGCAATTCTACCTTGTAACCACTGGAGGGCGGTAAACATTGATGATTCTAATGACTTCATGTCTTCATGCAAGGTTGGATATTACTTACATGCTCCGATAGATTACGAGATCTACACAGACCAACCAGAAGGTTACGAGGAAGGAGAAGGTCTGGTATGTAAGCTGGAGAAATCTTTGTACGGCCTAAAGCAGTCTGGCCGAAACTGGAATAAGACTCTACATGACTATTTAACTGAAAAAGGATTCACACAAAACCCAGCAGACCATTGTGTCTATGTCAAAGAGACTAAAGATGAAAAGGTGATTTTGATAGTCTGGGTGGACGATTTGATAATCGCAACCAACAATGAAAAAGTGATGAAAGATGTAAAAGAGATGCTTGCAGAAAAGTTCAAAATGAAAGACTTAGGTAGACTTAAGCATTTTCTCGGCATCAACTTTACTCAGTCTGATGGATGTGTAAAAATGTCACAGGAAACATATGTCCACAAGATTTTGGAAAGGTTTAACATGCAGGACTGCAAACCTAGAGACACTCCATGTGATCAAAAACTATATTACACAGAAGACGCTGTTAAAATGTGTGATGTTAGGATGTATAGGGAGGCTGTAGGCAGCCTTATATATTTGACAACCTGTACTCGTCCAGACTTAAGTTTTGTGGTAAGCAAGCTATCACAATATTTTTGTGAACCAACAGAAGAACAATGGATAACTGTGAAACATGTACTAAGGTATCTGAGAGGTACTGCAGACAGAGAGTTGTGTTTCAGAAGAAATGACAAAAAGGAGTTAGGGCTAGTGGCCTATAGTGATGCTGACTGGGCGTCAGATACTGCAGACAGACGCAGCACTACAGGTTACTGTGTGAGCCTTAGTGAGAACAGTTCTCTAGTTTCTTGGAAAACAAAGAAACAGCCTACGGTAGCGCTCTCAACCTGTGAGGCAGAATATATGGCCCTGGCTTCCACTATGCAAGAGTGTATATATTTGGAGCAACTGCTAAAAAGCATTGATGATTACAAATACACAAAGACTGTAGTGTATGAGGATAACCAGGGAACAATTGCAGTAGCCAAAAACCCTGTAAGCAGGCAAAGATGCAAACACGTGGACATTAAATATCACTTCATAAGGTCCATTGTGAATGAGGGAAAAATGAATCTGATTTATTGTAGTACTGAGGAGATGGTTGCAGATGTTATGACTAAGCCTGTCACCAAAGTCAAACTGAAAAAGTTCGCAGGTATTATGTTTGGTATCTAAAGAGTGGAAAAGGTCCACATCTGCACTGTATTTTACTGTGTGATTTTCTTTAAGTTTTGAAATTCCACAACCTGAGTACAAGTGAGGGTGTTAAGAGATACAATTAGATGTACTCAGTTGTTGTGTGTGAATGTATGGTTGTTGTACAATTGTGGTGTTGCGTGTTCACCACGGTGTGGCGCTGTGCACGGATGCCATTGGTTTTTGTTTTGGGACACACCCCGATTTGTTGTTCTGTCTGTCTGTGCGTGCACATGTTCGGTCATGAAGGTTATACCAAGTTAAGTCTGAAATAAATATGCCAGGAGGGCTAAAGATATATCGTCTAAGTTTTCTTCCTGAAGTTCAACGCAAGCAAGGATGCGAAGCTCAACAGATATGTCGGTTAAATGTAGTGTATCATACGTTTGTGTCGATGTGAATGGGGTGTAAATAACTTTAGCATCCTTAGAAGAGGCTACCGAAAACTAGCATTGGTTGCCACTATGTGACACGACCTTCGTCAAGCATGTAAATAATTTATCTTTTAATAATAATAATAATAATACATTTTATTTAAAGGCGCCTTTCTTGGCACTCAAGGACACCGTACACAGTTACACAAATTGAGATTAAAACACATTAAGAATTAATTAATTAATTAACAACAATAAAAATGAAATATAAAAATAAAAACAATACAAAAGTGACAGAGCAATTGGCATCAGATGGAAAAGGCAGTTTTAAACAGATGTGTTTTGAGTTGTGATTTGAAATGGGGGAATGAATCGATATTTCTGAGTTGGGGTGGTAGTAGGTTCCAGAGACGGGGAGCAGAGCGGCTGAATGCTCTACTCCCCATGGTGGTGAGACGGGCGGAGGGGACAGACAGGTGTGTGGAGGAAGAGGATCTGAGGGAGCGGGAGGGAGTGGAAGAAGAAGAACTAAGAACTAAAACGAACCTGCAGTTGTCGATAAATTTCCAGTCCGGCTAGGGTCTCCCGCATGTACTGACAATAGGTAGATGGAGACGATGGACCACTTGAGAATAGCTTCGGTTTAGTAACTTTATTGTGAAAGGATTTACCGGATGTAGGAGTGTGCTGTCATCACTGCATGGACTATCTACCGCTCTCCAGTGGAGTAAGTGTGAAATTGCGACACATTAAACTCATAAAACCAGACCGTCGTGACGGTTCACCAAAGTACATTTTACTATATACATTATTATTTGTTCTGTTACTTCACTTCTGATAACGTTAGATTGGGCCTTTATTATTTAAAAGTACTTACCGGAAAGGCCTGTACGGTCTACATTTACAGTAGCTTGACGAATTGAATCCGTTGCCGTTCCTCGTTGTGACCACTGGAGGGCGGTAAAACCCCATGTTTAAATACGTTGAAGACCGTTTTTGGATTACATTACATGGGCTTTGTGTTGGTTAAAAACTATGTTTCACTACAGACAGACAGAATTTATTCATTATCCCCATTAGATAAAGCAAGGTTAGTGTTTCTGACTCTGACCACTCGTAGACATTAAAAATGACACTAGCCGTCCTCAACAACAACTTCCGCTATGTAGCCGGAAGTGACTGAATAAAGTAAACAGAGGAGCTGTCAATGGATGCAGACATCTAGATAGCTATAACTAAAGCGAGCACATTTTTAAAAAGACATTTTTGCTTTTTATGCACACGAAGGGGCATTTGTATGAGAAACTGGTGCGACTTCTAATAAAGGTAAATCGTTAACGTTTCTGAACCTCCCGGTAAAATTGAACCCTGCAGTAGCCTACAGTAGCTAGCAGCTAATTAGCAAGCGTTAGCGAGCAATTTTCATGCTATTAGCTTCCGTCGCTTAAATGAAATATTACCGTAGTTTTTTTGTTTTTGCTTCTTTTTTTACCGCAGAGGTCGATGAGTTTAGTTTAAGTGCTACCCTTATTTAGACTCATTTCACTGGCTATCCCCAGGTAGTTAGCATGCGCTGATCGTTGCCAGCTGTTTGTTCACCTGCTGCAGCAGCTGGCGGCTCCTCCTCAGTCTGTGGGATCCGGCTGCGAGTCAGTGTCGGTGTCCTGAGGAGGCTCTCCTGCCAGAATGACCGGCTTTAGTTTCATCACTTTTCCATTTGATAAATAGGACATTTGTCACCAGAATGACCCGGTTTTTTATACTTTAAATCTCTGTTTATATCAGTGGTAGCTCGTACTCAGATTGTCTCAGCACTACCTGAATATTTGTGTCTTTATCATATCGATCCTCAGGTGCAGTCACAAAAAATTAGCCTTATTATATTCTATATTATTATATTGACTCACAGGTTTTCCTGGGGACAGGAGTGAC